CCCCCCCCCAGGATGGGCAGGGAGGGGGGCAGGGGGTTGCAAGGTGCCGGCACAGCATGCTCCATCCAAGGGAGTGCCGGGATGCGCCGATGGGGTCCGGGGTCGGGGTCTGCGGGGGGTGTCAGGGATGGGGGGGGTGTCTGTGCAGGGGGGACAGCTGGGGAATGGAGGTGTTCCAAATGGGGCAGCAGAAGTGTCCCCTGCCGGGTCCCCACTGTGCTGGGACCAGTACGGCTAGCCTGGAGGGGCGCAGACCATGGTGGGACCAGTACAGCCAGCCTAGACTGTACTGGGCCCCGGTTCCTCATCCCGCCCCTTCCCGTGATTCCCCTGGGAAGCCCCCCTTCACCCCCGGGCACACGACAAGAGGTTGACAATGACCATTGCATTAAAGATTAAAAAAAATAGCTCATGATTTAACAAAAACCACCAAAACACAGAGTACAACATGACAGTATTTTTAGTAGGATTAAGTTCACACCAAATGCCCCATCAACTAACAAGGGGAGGACTGGGGCGGGGGGTGGAGCTGCCGGTGTGGGGGGTCCGGACCATCCTTCATCTCAGCCGGAGCGGTGGCAGCGGGGGCAGGGGGATGGGGAGGGATGGGGGTCCAAGGCATCGAGGTCTGGGGACAGGGAGAGCCTGGGGGGGTTCACCCCAGCAAGGAAGGGGAGGGGGGAAGGCACAGCTGGGGGATCCCCACCCCGGGGACCCCCCTGGAAGGGCACTTGGTGAGGCTGGGGGCTGAGCACCCGTGGGGGAACCTGGGTCAGCACCCATGGTGGGGGACCCAGGTGAGCACCCACGGGGGACCCGGGTGCCAGCCCCGCTGCCACCGAGGGTGTCGCAGCCCCTGGGAGGGGATGGATCCAGCAAGTACCTAATGGGCAAACTGGGAGCGGGGACGGGGATGGGGGGGATGCCCCGGAGGCACTGGTGGTGGCGAGTTGGGGGGGGGTTGGGCGAAGGCACTGATCCAGCTCTGCTGCGGCGGGACCCCCTGGGTGGGGATGGGACCCCCTGGGTGGGGATGGGCACCCTGAGCTCTGCCTGGTGTTGTCTATGGGGGCTGGCAGAGCCCTCCCATCCCATCCCATCCCATCCCATCCCATCCCATCCCATCCCATCCCATATCCCAGCTTGGCCCCAGCCAGGCATCACAAAGGCACTTGGGTTGTGACACGACTTTGCTCAGAGCCTCCTCCTCCTCCTCCTCCTCTTCCTCCTCCCCGGCTGTGAGGGGCCGCGGTGGGAGCCAGAGGTCCCCAGGGTTCACCCCAAAAACCTCCCTCTGCCCACAGGACCCCCCCACCCACAAGACAAACGCTCATCCCTTCTCTCAATAAATAAGAAATAACTTAAGCGAGGGGAGGCCCCATCGGTGGGGACCCCACCCCCCTGAAATTGTCTGACCAGGACCCGCCGCCCCCCCTGCCGCCCCCAATCCC